TTCTCATCCACTCATTATCCATGTGAATGTGGTCCCATATTTAAATGAGTGGAGGAGGATGTGACACCTCACTACCAAGCACAACTTTTTGTGCTTGGTACCAAGCATACCCATATTTCTCATATATATATATATATATATATACTCATCTCCGATATAGATACGGATATATCTCGGTAAGAAAAATTCATATCATATCTGTTAAAATCGGATACGGTTACGGATATACTTGCAGATATAAAGTGGATATGCATGCTAATGCCAAACAGATGAGAAAACTATACGGTATTGAGAAAAATATAGTTCATGTGGTACAAAAGGGCTCGTTAATATATTCATTATAACTGAAAAGCTAAGATTAGACATCTTGATCATCAAAATTAACTACAAATCTATAATCTAAGAATTGAGACTATCGTAATAGTATGACTAACATGTATTTGGATATTTTAGATATGAATACAGATATTTCACTACAAAACAATATCCGTAACTATATTGTATCGGTTATAGATTTGAGAAACCATATCTCTATCCTAACGGATACGGTTACGGATATTTCTTTGGATACGGATACAGTTTAGCATCCCTACAAGTAACCCAAAAAAAATATCAAATCAGAAATTTTTAATCATTCTTCTTAAGGTTTAAACCACCTTATTACAAAGGGTTATTTTCATATACCCCTTAAATCTTGGGTTTTTGTAAAAATGCACCTCACATCTTAATATTTGCAAGAGTAACCCTCAAATCATCAACTTTGTGAAAAATATACCCTTAAAATAAAAAATTCATCAACGGGTGCAAAAGTTTGACTATTTTGTTTAAAATTTTTACATTGCAATTACAACTTAGCTTATCAAAGTTTATGATTAGTTGCTTTGAGGGTATTTTTTTCTAAAAGTGCTGCTTTGAGGGGTAATTTTGCAAACACTAAGATTTAGATATTTTTCGCAAATACTCATGATTTAAGGGGTATATATTCAAGTAACCCTATTAACAGAGTGTTGCTAGTAAGATTTGTATTTATCAACTACCATGAATTTTTATCACTTGTGGAGCACTAAAACGAGCCTGCACAAATTATCTGATTACCAGGCGTAGCGTGCTTCACTTGTTAGAGCCTAGGGATGGCAAATGGATGGTTTTGTTTGGGTTTTGGTTGGGTCATAAATGAGTGGGCACATTTATGACCACCTAACCATTTATGACCCATTTAGCACTTGCTAAATGTGTTGGTTCTCATCCACCCATTTACTAAATGAGTGGTTCATGGATAACCCAATAACCCATTTAGTTATGATTATGATGCTTCTATATATATGTAAGTTTCAGGGATCTACTTGTAAACTTTCAGGGGGTTTTGGCAAACTTTCAGGGGGGTTTTCTGCAAACTTTTAGGGGGTTTTCTGTAAACTTTTAGGGTTTTATGTAAACTTTCAGAGGGTTTTCCGCAAACTTTTAGGGGGTTTTCTACAAACTTTCAGGGGGGTTTTGCAAACTTCCAGGGGGTTTTCTATAAACTTTCAGGGGGTTTTCTGTAAACTTTCAGGGGGTTTTCTGTAAACTTTCAGAGGGTTTTTTGCAAACTTTCAGGGGTTTTTTTGCAAATTTTTAGGGGTTTTCTGCAAACTTTTAGGGGGTTTTCTGCAAACTTTCAGGGGGTTTTTTGTAAACTTTTAGGGGGTTTTAGTAAACTTTCAGGGGTTTTTTGTAAACTTTTAGGGGGGTTTCTACAAACTTTTAGGGGTTTTATGTAAACTTTCAGAGGGTGTTTTGTAAACTTTCAGGGTATTTTCTGTAAATTTTTAGGAGGTTTTCTGCAAACTTTTAGGAGATTTTCTACAAACTTTCAGGGGGTTTTCTATAAATATTTCTTTCTCAATTGAATCGACTACTTCAGAAAATTAGGACAGAATTGTGAGGAAAAGAAGCAAATGATGACGGGGCTGAGCAAAAGAAGAGATGGACTCGTAACAAGTCTAGTTTACTACCTGCTCGGTTATTTAAAAAAAGCCCTTACTTTGGTCATGTGACAAATTACACTTGGCCGCAAACGCATATATCTCCTGCCGACGAAGAATTATGAGCGCCTACTTTTTATATTTATATATCATTAAGGGTGTTTTTTGTAATTTTTAAAAGTTTGAGGGTGTTACTTGCAAATTTGATATTTATAGGGGACTACCGAATTTTTTTAGATTTCATGTGTCATTTGCAAGTTTAGAAAATTCTAAGATTGTTTTGTAGTTTTGAATTCTTGAGGGTGTTTTTTGCAATTTTTAAACTTTGAGGGTGCTTTTTATAAATTATAAATTTACAGGGGGTTGCTAGTAATTTTTGGATTTCATGTGTCATTTGTAGGTTTTGAAATTTCAGGATGGTTTTGTAATTCTAAACTATGCAGGGTGTTTTTCTAAAAATTTAAAACTTTGAGGGTGTTAATTATAAATTTTAAATTTATAGGGGACTATTGAAATTTTTTAGATTTCATATGTCATTTGCAAGTTTATTAAACTCTAAAATTGTTTGGTAATTTTAAAGTCTTGAGGGTGGTTTTCTCATTTTCTATAACTTTTAAGGGTATTTTTTGCAAATTATAAAATTTCAGGGGGGCTGTTGGTAATTTTTGAATTTTATGTGTCATCTGTGAGGTTAGAAAATTTTGATAGTTTTTTTATAATTTTTAACTCTTGAGGGCGTTTTTATAATATTTTAAACTTTGAGGGTGTTTTTTGCAAATCTTAAAATTTTAAGGGGTTGTTAGTCATTTTAAGTGTTTTCTATAATGTTTAACTTTTAAAAATAAGTTTTGTAATTGTTGAAGCGTTGAGGGTGTTTTTAAAACAATATCCATCTAAACGGGTAAATGGGTGGGTAATAACCCACCCATTAATGACCCAT